TTATATTAGCTCAGCCTACCCATGAGCAATTGATATTTTTCCAATTGTTTAGATCTGACTTTATTTGCTTGAAAAGTGTTTTGTTATCGTGTACATATAGTTCCTGGGTTTGTCTTGGCAAGTAGATTCCCAAATATTTTGTATTGTCTACAGTTATTTTAAATGGAACTTCTCTTTCCATCTCTTGCTGCTGGACTTTGTTGGTAATATATAGAAATGTTGATGACTTATGTGGGTTTATTTTATATCCTGTGACTTTGCTAAAGTTGTTAATTATTTCAAATAGGTTTTTAGTTGATTCTTTAGGATTCCCTAAGTATACCATCATATCATCTGCAAAAAGTGATGGTTTTATTATGAAATGCAAAATAGATCATTTTGATTACACTAAATTGAAAAGTTTTTGCAGAAACAAAGCCAATGCAACCGAGATTAGGAGGGAAGTAGAAAACTGGGAAAGAATTATTACAGCCAGTGTCTCTGATAAGGGCCTCATTTCTAAAATATATAGAGAACTAAGTCAAATTTATAGGAATACAAGTCATTCCGCAATTGATAAATGGTCAAAGGATATGAACAGGCAGTTCCCAGATGAAGAAATTAAAGCCATCTATAGTTATATCAAAAAATGCTCTAAATCACTATTGATTAGAGAAATGCAAACCAAAACAACTCTGAGGTACCACATCACACCTATCAGATTGGTTAACATGACAAAACATGAAAATGATAAATGTTGGAGAGGATATGGGAAAGTCTCATGATGGAAAATGCTATCCACATCCAGAGAAAGAACTATGAGCTTTGAATGCAGATTGAAGTATACTATTTGCTCTTTTTTTTTTCCCTTCTGTTTTGTTTTGTTTCCTCTTTCTTGTGGTTCCTCCTATTGGTTCTAATTCTTCCTTAAAACATGACTAATGTGAAAATTAGAAAAAAAAAGAGTGATGGTTTTGTTTACTCATTGTCTGGTCTAATTCCTTCAATTCTTTTTCTTCTCATATTGCTAAAGCTAACATTTCTAATACAATATTGAATAATTGTGGTGATAATGGGCATCCTTGATTCACCCTTGATCTTATTTGGAAGGCTTCTAGCTTATTCTCATTACAGATAATGCTTGCTGATAATTTTAGATAGATACTACTTATCATTTTAAGGAAAGCTCCATTTATTACTATGCTTTTTAGTGCTTTTAATAGGAATGGGTGCAGTATTTTGTCAAAAGCTTTTTCTGCATCTATTGAGATAATCATATGATTTTTTTTTATTTTGCTATTGATATGGTGAACAATGCTAATAGTTTTCCTAATATTGAGCCAGCTCTGCATCCCTGGTGTAAATCCTAACTGGTCATACCGTATTATTCTGGTGATAAATTGCTGGAATCTCTTTGCTAATATTTTACTTAAATTTTTTTTGCATCAATATTCATTAGGGAAATTGATCTATAGTTTTCTTTATCTGTTTTGGCTCTTCCTGGTTTAAGTATCAGCACCATATTTGTGTCATAAAAGAAATTTGATTAAGATTCCTTCTTCACCAGTTTTTCCAAACAGTTTATATAGTATTGGAATTAATTATTATTTAAATGTTTGGTAGAATTCACTTGTAAATCCATCTGGCCCTGGAGATTTTTTTCTTAGGGAGTACATTGATGGCATGTTCAATTTCTTTTTCTAAATTGGGGTTATTTAAGTATTTTATTTCCTCTTCTGTTAATCTGGGCAATTCATATTTTTGTAAATATTCATGCATTTCACTTAGATTGTCAGATTCATTGGCATATAGTTGGGCAAAATAGCTCCTAATAGTTATTTTAATTTCCTCTTCATTGGTGGTGAATTCATCCTTTTTATTTTTGATGCTGGCAATTTGCTTTCTTCTTTCTTTTTTTAATCAAATTAACTAAGGACTTATGTATTTTATTGTTTTTTTTTTCATAAAGCTAGCTCTTAGTTTTATTGGTTCAATAGTTTTCTTTTAATTTTATTAATCTCTCCACTGATTTTCAGAATTTTCTTAGTTTTATTTATTGGTTCAATAGTTTTCTTTCAATTTTATTAATCTCTCCACTGATTTTCAGAGTTTCTAATTTAGTGTTTAATTGGGAATTTTTAATTTATTCCTTTTCTAGATTTTTTAATTGCATGCCCAATTCATTAATCTGCTCTTTCTCTATTTTATTCATGTAAGCATTTAGAGATTAAAAAAAATTTCGACACATAACACTTACTAGCTATGTGATCCTGGGCAAGTCACTTAACCCCACTGCCTAACCAAAAAAACCCAAAATATCATAAAAAAAATTTCCCCTGAGGACTGCTTTGGCTGCATCCCATAATTTTTGGCATGTTGTCTCATTATTGTTGTTCTCTTTCGTGAAATTATTGATTGTTTCTATGATTTGTTGTTTGACTCACTCATTCTTTAGGGTCAGATTATTTAGTTTCCAATTAGTTTTTTATCTACCTTTCCATGGCCCTTTGTTACACATAATTTTTATTGCGTCATGATCCAAAAAGGATGCATTTAATATTTCTGTCTTTCTGCATTGGATTGTGAGGCGTGTTCCCTTTTAGATGAGATCGTTTTATTATTAGTTGCACTTAATGACAGGAAACCTATCATAAAGTGGAAGTAATCTGTAAATATTTGTAAGGTAAAACAAACCATATTGATAAAACTTTTAAAAAATCATTTTAATAAAGGAGATAAGACTCAGGGAGATAAATGTGTTAGCTGCCTTTGAGTAGCTGAAGGGTGATCTTGTGGAAGGGAGATTAGGCTTGTTCCATCATGGCCCCTGAAGTAAGGACTAGAAACAGATGGGTAGAATTTGAAGAAAGGCAGATTTTGGTTCAATGGAAGAAATGTTCCTAGGGCTTAGAGGTGTCCCAGAGTGGAAAGGGCTGCCCTGGGAGATAGCAGGTTTCTTACTGGAGGTCTTCAAGAAAAGATAACTTGTTGGGGATGTTTAATAAATGCTTGTTGGATGAATGAATGTTTTAGAGTCAAAAGATCTGGGTTCAAGTCCCAGTTCTGACATTTATTGTCTGTGGAATCCTGGGCAAACCACTTAATCTCTTTGTAAAATGGTAAATGTGTAAAACTGACTCTCTACCTTAGAGGGCTGTTGTGAGGGAAGTATTCTATAAATTGTGTTGTGTCATGGATGTCAGCTCTTCTTGTTGGGCAGGAGTTGAGCAAATTCTTGTTTAGGTATGTAGGCCGTGATGTCCAACCAAGGTGCTTTCCAACTCTGGGATTTTGTGGAATGGAACGTGAACTGGTATTTAGGGAGACGAGGGGGGGGAGGGGTGTTCCAGACATGAAGAACACTAACAAAGGCATAGAAGGGGAAATAGGGACTGGGGAGGGGAGGGGTTGGAATTATGAGCATTATTTGCTTGGCTGAAGAGGAGCAGGATATGAGATTGGAAGGGTAAGATTATGGAGGGTATAGAATGCCAGTCAGAGGTATTTGGACTTGACACTAGAGACTTAGTGAAACTGGGAAACTGGCAAAGTATTCTTGGCCAATCCAAACCTGACTTTATGAATCCTTTTCACCTCCCATCCCACCTTTAGGCTTCCCTTTCCTTGCTCCCATCTAAATTGAACTTTGTTAAATTCTCTGCCCTCTGTCTTCTACCACTCTGTGTGAATCCTGTCTTGTGAATCCTGTGTGTCCCTGGGCTGCCTCTCCCAAGGAGTTTGTACCCTCAGTCTCCTCTTAGAGGAGACTTTCCTAAGAAAGGTTCTGTCTCCTGGAGAAGGAAGGTTAAGTCTTAGCCTACAGGCAGAAAGGCCTTCCTTAACAATGGTGAAATCTTGGCTTAAGGAGGGGATGCCATACACACTCAATTGGGTATGGAAATCTATCTTACCCTACAGGAAGATAGGAGGGAAGGGGATAAGAGAGTGGGGGAATGATAAAGGAGAGAGCAGATTAGGGGAGGGGGTAATCAGAAGCCAACACTTCTGAGGAGGGATAGGGTCAAAAGAGAGAATAGAATAAACGGGGAGCAGGAGAGGAAGAAGGGAAATATAGTTAGTTTTCCACAACATGACTAATGTGGAAGTGTTTTGCATGACTATACATGTATAACCTGTATCAAGTTGCTTGCCTTCTCAATGAGGGTGGGTGGAGAGGGAGGAAGGGAGAAAATTTGGAACCCAAAGTTTTAAAAACAAATGTTAAAAATTGTTTTCACATGCAACTGGGAAATAAGATATACAGGCAATGGGGTATAGAAATCTATCCTGCCCTACAGGAAAATAGAAGGGGAAGGGGATAAGAGAAAGGGGGGAGATAGAAGGGAGGGAAGATTAGGGGAAGGGATATTCAGAATGCATGCCATCTTGGAGTGGGGAAGGCACGAGATGGGGAGAAAATTTGGAAGTCAAAATCTTGTGGAAATGAATGTTGAAAACTAAAACTAAATTAATAAATTTAAAACAAAAACAAATAAAAAATGGTGAGATCACCCAATGGAGGTGGGCAGACAGTTGCCTACTCTGCCTATATACATGAGGCAGACCCAGAGGAGTTGTAAGTTCATGAACAGTAGAGACCATTTGGGGCTCTCAGGAAATGGGGTCTGGTGTAGGCCCTGAACCAGGAGGGAGAGGATCTGGGTTCTAGGTATAGCTTTGCTATTTTGCTGATTACTACCTGTATAACCCTGACCAAGTCTCTTCTTTTCCTGGTCCTTGGTTTTCTCCTCTGCCATATTCAGAGGTTAATTAGATGATTTCTAATTCTAATTTCTAAAGCTTACTTCCATCTCTATCATTCTATCTTATAATATTTTGTGTTCTAAAGTTCTTTCTAGTTCTTGTATTCTATAAAATTGTAAATGTAATACTTTTTAAATAGGAACAAGAAGATGGAAAAATATGTATGAACTGTGAAGGGGAGGGGCAGGGAGGATGTGAGGTGAGATTACTAAATCTGACCTTTTTTTGGGGGGGTGATGTTTGTGTTGCACATTCAGGGAAGTTCCATACCTTTCACTGTGACCACCGTGCCTGCAACCCACCTGTGGGGAACCTTGCCACAGGCAGGACCCCTACCACATTCACCACCTGTGGGGAGAGTGGTACAGAGCTCTCCTGCTCCTATGTGGACCAACCTTCCCTCCCTTCCAGCACCTTAAACTGTGGTCATCTTCAGTGCACCAAGTGCAATGCTCAGCAACCCAACAATTCCCACCCACCATCCTCCATGACAGATGACGTCTTTGCCTTTCCCAACACGTGGTGGCAGTCAGCTGCAGGTGTCTCCCGAGAAGCGATTCATTTGGACTTTGAGACAGAATTCTATCTGACTCATGTCATCGTGGTCTTCAAGTCTCCCCGGCCAGCCGCCATGATCCTGGAGCGTTCCCAGGATGGTGGACATACCTGGAGGCCCTATAAATATTTTGCCACCAACTGTACGGCCACCTTTGGGCTCCAAGATGACCTCATTGAAGAAGGCTCTCTTTGTACATCTAGGTATTCAGATGCTATTCCTTGTACCAGAGGTGAGGTAAGTACCCCATCCATTAGTTTGGCACTCAAAGCCCTCCATAACCTGGCCCCAGCCTATCTCTCCTCTTCAGTATAAACTCTACTTCCAGTAAGTCTGGTATCCTCAAGGTCTCTTGCACAGGCCATGCTTACTAGTACCTCCCCTCTTTTGCTGATGTTTTCTCCACCATGCCCAAACTCATCTCTAAACCCATCCAATAAGACCCAATTTCTTCTTGAACATTTCCTCCATCACCTTGCCTCCACTGGGCTGGCTCCCTTTCCTCAGCACTTCTGCTCCACCAATTAGCTGTATCCAGGCTCACAAATTTAATTAGCACATTAATTTTAAGTTTATAGCACTTCATTATTACACTCAAATCTTTGTCTCTCTCCACAAAGACTTGTAAATCCAGGTCCACATTCAGCTAAACAAAGGGCTGCATGACACCTCTAAGGCTGAAACCCTTACCCCATGATTGAATTTAGTTTACTGAGCGTCTATTCAGTCTGACCTTGTGTGAGGCATGTGTTAGGATGACATATAAAGATCCTTCTCCTTCTCTAGTAAGTGTCTGAGGCAAGACTTGAATTCAGGTCCTCCTGACTCCAGGGCTGGTGCTGTATCCATTGAACCACCTAGTTGCCCCTCATCATGTACTTCTGAAACTGATTTTTCAAACATGACAGTAGGGCCCTTACATTCACTCCTATTAAATTTCATGTGGTCAGGAAAGTGTGGAATCATGGATAGAAAACTGGCCTTGAAGCCAGGAAGACCTGAGTTCAGATGCTCCCCCTGAGACATACTGACTGACCCTGGGAAAGTCACTTCACCTCTTGCTGTTCTAGGCAGCTCTCTAAGACTATAGATTGCTAAGAAGTTACCGAGCAGTTCTTACCTTCTATCCTTATAAATTTAAGAATTCTTATGCCTTTGTCATTGGTAAAAATGTTAACATGAACAGATCCCTGGGGCACTCCACTGTAGACCACCCTTCAAGAGATGTGGCGATATTAACGACTCCTCTTCTTGTCATTCAGCCAGTTCCAAATCCACTGGACAGTATGTTTATCTAGACCAGAGGTGTCAGACAAACAGCTCAGAACACTCTTGAGTGCTAAGAAAGCCTAAACAAGTTTAAAATGTAATTAGGAAATAATTAACAAAATAAAAATATAGTGAACACAGATAATGTCCATATGTGGTTTTCTAAGTCAATATGTGGCTCACAGGGATCTTAGGTATGGTTTAGTGGCCTCGATTCCTACTTGAGTTTAACACCACAGGTCTAGCTTATGGGTCAAAGAAAATGGAGGCCAAATGAGTTGAGTCATTTGGCCTTATCTCCATCATCCTTTTGCTATCTGCCCTCTTTTCTCTGGGATAGCTGAAGACCAAAATCTCTGTTTGCAGTCCACAGTATTCATTGCCAGCCTGGGATCTTTCTGTATTCTAGAGCCCCTAATTTTATTCTTATGGGATTTATATTCATCTTGGTCATTATCCTTGCTTTCCTCTAGCTAGTTCTAGACTCTAAAGCTAATATGGTGAATAATCCATTTCTTTCTGAAGACCCAAGAATATTTCTCTCTTCTAATCCAGTTCTCTTCCACCTTCACAACATCTCACTTACTTTTCCCCAAAACCACCTTAGCTGCAGAAAAGTAGGTGGTACGATGGATCGAGCACAGACCTGCAATCAAAAAGACTTGAGTTCAAAGCTGAAATCAGACACTCATTGGCTATGTGACCCTGGGCAAGTCACTTAAGCGCTGCTTTCCTCAGTTTCCTCAGCTGTAAAATGAGGAAAATAACAGCACTTGTCTCTCAGGGTTATTGTGAGGATCAAATGAGATAAGTTTATGAAGTACTTTGCAGACTTTAAGGTGCTATATAAATGCTGGCTATCAGGGTCATGCGCATGCATCAGAGCTGGGGTTTGAATCTACTATGCCATTTTGCTGTTGTTTCGTTATTCCAGTGTATCGGATTCTCCATGACCCAGTGGACTTTGTCCATAGGGTTTTCTTGGCAAAGATACTGGAATAGTTTGCCTTTTCCTTCTCCAGTGTATCCCCATTTTACAGATGAGGAAATGGAGGCAAACAGGGGCTAAGTGACTTGTAAATGTCTGAGGCCACAATTGAACTCAGATCTTCCTGACTCCAGGCACAGCGCTCTATCCACTGCAGCTGCCATTCAAAGAAGAGGAGCATAGCATTGTAGAGCCCAAAAGATGCTATGGAAAGATGTCGGAGCAAGAATGGATAGAGGCCAGGAGAGTGGAGGGAGGGGTAGAATGGGACAGGCCAGTAGCAGCAGGAGAATGGGAGCATTTGGTCCCATCAAGGAGCAATTTCCTGCCTCAACTCCTAGGCTTTATATGGTTGGGGGAGGGGAGAGGAGAGGGAAGGGAGAATGAAGAGGGAAGGAATGAATCCCACCAAAGCTGGTCTAGGTCCTCCAGAGGGGAAGCTCTTGGTGGAAATGGGGAATCATCCTGACACCCAGAGCCATTGTAAGGGACCAGATACTTGGAACAATCTCAGGTGGGATCATTTGCCTGAGACAGGACAGGTAAGTCCAGGGAAGAGTCACCCTTTCACCCCCTCCCACATCTCCCATATTCTGTGAGCCAGAATCAGAGGACCTTGCCCAAACTGGCAGTAGGACGGCTCTGATGCCCAGGGGACCTGCCTCTCGGCTGTGCTTGGGTAGGGGATGCTGGAACCTGGACCAGCCAGACGTCGGCTTACGGCTGCATGGGCTGGTGGAATGTGGACAGCCGGCTTCTGCAGCTGGGGCTGTTAGCTCATGGCTCCCTTGGCCTGGGGAATGTCAAGGCCCTCGGTGGTTTGGAGAGAATACGTGACCGCTCAGCTCATGGTGAGGAAAAAGGGGACCTGACACAATCCGGGGAGGGGGGGGCCTCAGGATGAAGGCCGTTGTGGGCCGGGCTGCTTGAGCAGGTGAGGGCTTGTGGCTGCATCAGGCAGTCTGACCGGGCTTTGATCGAGCCAGAGCCACAATAGAATGATCTCTGGGGCATCAGTTGTCACCCCCTCCCCCTCTCCTCTGGGCCCTCACAGAGCACAAAGGAATGGACAAAATATTTTCTATGCAGCAAGTTTTTCAACTTGCCTGTCCACTTGAAAAAAAAATGCAGAGATAGAGAGGCAGGGAATCTATGAAATCAATGGCAGATGGGACAAATGTGTCACCTCTCGGTTTCATGGGCCAGAATCCATAAGAAGAAGGACATAACCACCAGCTCTCAGGTTGTAAGAGACCTCAGAGGGCAGCTGTCCCAACCCCTCCATGAACAGGAAATCTCCTCTGGGATATCCCTGGCAGGCGTTGACACCCCGGTGAGTAATGGCAGGTCACAGACAGGTAACTTCACCTCCCTTCCCCCTCAGTTTCCCTACCTGTAAAGTGAGGGGTGTTGGCCTAGATGACTTCTGACACCTCTTCAGCTCCAGACCTAGGGTTCTGTCGTTCTAGGTGTTGGGCTGAGACCCCAAGTTTGAAATGGATGGGACTGAACCTTGATATAGCTCTTCTGACTCTTGGGAACCCCATTTGGGGTTTTCTTGGCAGAGATACTGAAGTGGTTTGCCATTTCCTTCTCCAGCTCATTTTACAGATGGGGAAACTGAGGCAGACAGTTAAGTGACTTGCCCAGGGTCATACAGCTAGTAAGTGTCTGAGGGCAGCTTTGAGCTCCCCTCTTCCTGATTTCAAGTCCAGCACTCTGTTCACTGTGCTGCCAAACGAATTTGCACGAGGCTACCTCCTACACACGTATATATGATGCAGCTTCTTATGAGGAATTTGTTATTGTTTCTCAGTCACATCCAACTCTTTGTGACCCCATTTGGGGCAGAGATACTGGAGTGGTTGACCATTTCCTTCTCCAGCTCATTTTACAGGTGAGGAAACCGAGGCAGACAGAGTTAAATGACTTGACCAGGGTCTCACAGCTAGTAAGTGTCTGATAGCAGATATGAACTCAGATCTTCCTGACTCTTGGCCTAGTACTCTATCCACTGCACCACTTAGCTACCCTGGATCTCGATAAGTCATGGCTGAAGTTAGTCGGCTGAGGTATAAAGAACTCCGTAAATGGAGTGAATGCAGTGAGAGGCAGTGATGGAAAGAGGCCTGGGGGGCAGTTAGGTAGCCCAGCAGATAGAGCACCAGCCCTGGAGTTAGGAGGACCTGAGTTCAAATCCGGCCTCAGACCAAACACTTGACACTTGCTAGCTGTGTGACCCTGTGTGACACTTAACCCCAATTCCCTAAAAATAAATAATAAATTTTAAAAAAGGTGGGGGTCCTGGATTCAACTTTTTTTCTCTCATACTTACAACTTGTGTGATTTGAAGCAACTCACTTGCCCTCTCTGGGCCTCTGTTTCCCCACCTGGGAAATGAATGTGTTGGACCAGCTAGCTGATCTCTTAGGTCCCTGAATTCAGGCTTGTGAACAGGGGGCTTGGGAGGCAGGAGACCTGGGCTTTCATCCCATCCCTATCAATAATTCATTGTGTTACCCCAAGACCTCTTTCGGGGTCTCAGTTTCCTCCTCTGGAAAGGGAGGGAGCTAGATGAAATGATTCCAAGGTCGCTTCCAGCTCTAAGACTCTCTAAAGAGGAATTAAGCCTGGAGAACAAATGTTGCTGAGTGGGCTGGCTGGCTGGCTGACAGAGAGCGTGCATGGTATGTCAGCCCACCCTCTGGCCCGCCCTTGGCATAAAGGGCCCCGCTGAGCAATACAGCCCAAGCAGAGAGTAAGACTGGGGCCTGATCTCATGGAGACAAAAATAGAACACCCAGATCTGGTCATGACTCAGAGCACCAGCCAGAGGCGCCCACAGAGGCAAGGGGCTCTTTTTCCTTTGGGAGCCCGGATGGAAGAGGGGGGAGTTCATAGCTATTCCAAGGGGGAAAAGAAGCATTCCTCTGTCTGGGGCAAAGGACTGTAGGTTGGCAAAATTCGATTTTTATGTTCCCAGCTCCTTTCTCTAGGTCTTCTCTGACTAAATGCTTGGCACATAAGTGCTTAATAAATGCTTTTTTTTATAATTCATTCATTCATTCATTCATTCATTCATTCATTCTTTCCTTCCCTTCCCCAATCCCTCAGCATCCTTTCCCCCTCTCCCTTCAGGTTCCTAATGACCTCCATCCCTTTTGTTTTCTCCCTCCCTCTCTTTTCTTCCTTTTATATTTTTCTCTTGGTAATAATTTACCATTTAGGCTGAAGATAAGTGATAGAATCCTAACCTATCAAAACCCAAAGATACCTTAGATTGAACCTGATAGGCTTCTATTATACAAAGGGAATCTGAGGCATAGAAAGAGGAAATGCACCCAGGGTCCCCCCGGGAGCCAGAGAAGAAGCCAGGTCTGACATTTCCGGGAGCCGCCAAAAAGCCTTAGCAATCACTGGGCTGATTTAATCCCTTCATTTTAATGGATAAGGACATTGAGTCTCAGAGAGATGGAATCACTTGTTGGAGGCCACACAGCTGAGCCAGTCGCCTTTGGTGATTCTATCTCACAATATCTTTCTTGGCTTGCCTCCTCACCCGCATTCAGGCCCTCATCATTTCTCGTCTGCACCATTGCAGCAGACTCCTAATTGGTCTTCCAGAAGCCAACCTTTCCCCTCTCCAGTCCTTCCCACACACAGCTGGAAACTGGGTATTTGTACCCCCCCACCCCCCTCCTGGCCAATGGTAGATACAGAAGAAACGTTTGTGGAATTGAGTTGAGTGTATTCTGGTGCCAGAGCTAGTGGGCTTGCCATTATACTGAACTCTTGAATTTTAATGCAGTGTTCTCTTCTCTTCATTTAAATAGATACGTTGCAAACACCTCTGGGAGAGTTATTTTCAGCCTTATCTGTAATGGTTGTGTGGAAGACTTTGTCCTTCTTAAAGGAATTTTAGGCATCGGTGAACTAAGTGAGGGAGATATTGGCTCAGGGTGGCTAGTGGGTGCCATAGTGCATAGAGTGCTGGGCCTAGAGGCAGGAAGACTTGAGTTCAAATTTGCCCTCAGACACTTACTAGCTTTGTGACCTTGGGCAAGCAAGCCACTTACGTCTGCCTCAGTTCTGTAAAATGGGGATGATAATCATAGCACCTACCTCCCAGGGTTCTGGTAAGGATAAAATGAGATTATATTTGTAAAGTGCTTTTGCACTACATAAATGTTATTCTTATAATTAATTATTATTATTATCCCTTGTTTTACATGGTTGCATATGTGTAATCTATATAAAATTGCTTGCCTTCTCAAGGAGAGGGGTGGAAAGGAAGGAGAAAATATGAAACTCAAAATTTAAAAAAAGAATATTAAAATTTTTTGTTTACATGTAATTGAGAAAAAAATTAAGTAAAAATAAAATGTTATTATTATAATCCTACCATGTAGAAAGCTTATTCTACCCACCTGCAGGAAAGGCTGGCTGTAACCAAGAATGAACACTACTTTAGGTCTTGACCCACAGAATAGGACCTTAGATATCTTCTAGTCTAACTCTTTTATTTTTACAGGAAGGGACATTAAGGCCCAGAGAAGGGAGGTAACCCAAGCAAGGTCAAATAGCTAGTAAGTAGGAGAGCCTTGACTTTAGCCCAGGTCTTCTGGCTGAATTTTGTTCTTACAGAACAGACCCTCTCTTCTCCATTCCATTCAACTAACATGTATTCAATGCTTGCTAAAATGCTAGTGATACAAACACAAAAATAAGAGAGACCTTGCCTGTGGGGAGCTCATATTCAATTGAAGTAGCTTGATTAGTGTTTTCATCTCCCAGGTCGTCTACCGGGCCCTGACGCCAACCAATCAGATTGACAATCCTTATGGCCCAGAAGCCCAGGATTTGCTAAAACTCACCAACCTGCGTCTTGTGCTGCTAAAAAGGCAGGATTGCCCCTGCCAGGGGGTGAGGCTTCTGGAGAAACCCCAGCGATTCACCCATTATGCCATCTATGACCTGATTGTCCGTGGAAGCTGCTTCTGCAACGGACATGGGGAGATGTGTCAGCCGGCAGATGAGACAGGGAACTCGAGGAGCATGGTGAGGCCGTGATCTAGGTGGGGCCGGGATCCCGTCTTGTCTGCATGCTGGGGACATGAGTGTTCACATGAGCTGGCCTTTAAAGGTTCCCAAAGTGGAAGGGAGGGCAGAGGACTTTGTGATGAATGGTGGAGAGGGAAGAGGGGAAGGAGCAAAGCCCGACTGATGGGAAAGATCTCATGCATTGTTTGTTCTAGATGGCCTAGGATAGAAGACTAAGTGCGTGTGTGCTTTATGGCTCTGCTCATGCCATTAGCTCAGGCCTCTCCTCCATCTTGTTCTATGGAAGTCTTTCCTATCTTGTAAGGCCAAGCTCAAATGCCACTGCCTCTATTAAGCGTCCCTCACCACCAAGGTAGAAATACCCTAAACACCTATAGTGTTTAGTGTGTTTCTCCCATATCACATTCTGTCGTGCATTACAGTGATGTGTGCACTTATCTTACCTTCTTTACTAGACTATAAGCCCTCTGAGGGCAGAGGTTATGTTTTGTACCTCTTTTTATCCCCTATGGCTTTTTTTTTTAGGTAATTGGGGTTAAGTGACTTGCCCAGGGTCACACAGCTAGTAAGTGTCAAGTGTTTGGTCTGAGGTTGGATTTGAACTCACTTCCTCCTGACTTCAGGGCCAGTGCTCTATCCACTGCGCCACTTAGCTGCCCCCCCACCATGGCTTTTTGCAGAGAGCATTAGATCATAGAAGGGAAGGAACTTAAGACACACAATATTAGAACACAGAACAAGGAACATTAGAGCTAGATGTGATCTCAGAGGCCACCTCTCATTCTACAGAGGAAGAAATTGAAGTCCACAGAGGGCATATGGCCAAACCACTGGGACATAAATTTGTTTGTTCTGAGGTAACCAGGTAATTATCTTCTTCACCATCACCATCATCATCATCATCATCATCATCATCCTAACTACCATTTGCATAGAGCTTTAAGGTTTGCAAAATGCTGTACAAATATCTCATTTGATCCTAAGAGGTAGGTGCCTTTATTATCCCCATTTTACAGATGAGGAAACTGAGGCTAAGCAGTTAAATGACTTGCCCAGGATCACATAGCTAGTGAGTGACTAAGGCAGAATTAGAACTCAGATATTCCTGACTCCCAAGACTAGTGATTTGTCCACTTCACCACCTAGCCACCTAAGAATTAGAGGCTATCTCTAGAAATCAGGTGCTATCCTTAACTTCTATTCTCTGACGAACATAGCAATTCCAGTGCCAGAAGATGAGAGTATCGATGAATGCATACAGATGGAGGCAGGAAAGCATTCTCTGGCCACCCAGAAGATGAGCCCAGTGACCCTTCTCGGGGCCAGTAGTGCTTTCATAAGCTCAGGGGCAGTTTCTTCTTTCCCTTAGTGGCCTGTGGGGCAGAGTTGGATGGAAAATTTGGAAAAGATTTCAGTGACTCATCCCTGTAAGAACATGAGGAAACTGCTGTTGGTGTCATGGAAAAAGTCCTGGATTAGTTATTTGGAGACCTGGCTTCTAGTTCCAACACAAATTGAGAAAGCACTTGTCCTGGTGTCAGGAAGACTTGAGTTCAAATCCAGCCTCAGGCACTTACTAGCTGTGGGACCCTAGTCACTGTATCATTGTCTGCCTCAGTTTCCTCAAATGTAAAATGGGGGTAATAACAACACCTGCCTCACAGGGGTTATTGTGAAGATCTAAAGAGATCTTATCTGTAAAACTCTTAGAACAGTACCCAGCACACAGTAGGTACTTAATAAATGCTTGTCTCCTTTCCTTCCTCTGTCACCACTTCACTGTGTGGCCTTTGTCAAGTTCTTCAACTTTCTTGGGCCCCAGTTTCCCCAACTGCAAATGAGGTGGGTTTAGACAAGCTGAAGGGATATTTTGATGGGACAATGACCTTCCTCTCTATGCTTCCTAGTTTATATATGTCCTTCCTAAAAGATGGCACCCAGGGGCAGGTAGGTGGTGAAGTGGATAGAGCACCGGCCCTGAAGTCAGGAGGATGTGAGTTCAAATCCAGCTTCAGACCAAACACTTGACACTACTAGCTGTGTGACCCTGGGCAAGTCACTTAGCCTCTTAGTGCTTCAGTCAATTCTCACAGACTGTAAGTTGCAGAGTAGATTCCAGTGTGCATTGGTAGAGGGAATTTTTCTCCCTGGGAGTTCTGTGTACTAATAAAATCACAGATGTGACCCAAAAAAATGCCTTCTCAGGTTTGGTGGGTCCAGGGCTCTATCCAGGGGTTGGCAGACCAAAGCCAGATCTGGCCTGCCAGCTGTTCTCATATAGCCAACAAACTAAGACTGATTCATGCATTTTACAGTACTTCCTGCAGGAAGGTGATCCTGGGCAATATGCTGAAGCCTGCTTGGACCCATCGAAGAGTCTTTAGGTTGTCCTTTTAGATCACTTGCAACGATAATTGTGCTGGGGTGGTATTCCACAGTTTATGGCCCTGGAAGATCCCCAGGAGGTGGGAAAAGACGTGCTTTTATGGTAGTGAGCCATGGTTTGTCTTTCTCTGTATCCCCTGTGCTTAGCAGTTCCTGGTTTATAGTAAGTGCTGAATAAATGTTTGATGACCAACTTCTAAATGTAATCCAGCTCGGTCTCTTCTCTGTGAGAGGCTGCATGGGCTCTGGAGTGAGGAAGACTTGGGTTTGAATTCTACCTCAGATGCTTGCTGTATCCCCCTGAGAAAGTCACTTTAGCCTCAGTTTTCTCATGTGCAAAATGAAGGTGTCGGACTCAATGACCTTTAAGGTCCCTTCCAGCTCTGAGTCTATGACCTCTATGTATGTCCTCCCTAATCAGTTCTGGTTCCAGCAAATTGTCTATTTGCAATACTTGTCCAAAGTATATATACTGATAGAGTAGCTGCTTATCCAGCTACTTGTTATAATCTGGGTAATATTCATTCTCCATCCACTTTGTGTTTCTAGTGTGGGTGTCTAGGCTGGTCTCTTTTAAATGAACATTGGTTTTATTGAGATGACCTGTAATGTTCCAAGGATCTAGGTAGTTGGCACAATACTATCTGCAAATAGGCACATCTGCAAAACCTCTCCATCAACAGGCAACCTCTTTTCCATTTGTATTTTGTAAGATAGGCAAGTTGGTAGTCCTGAATTAATCTTATATTTAGCCCTTCTGTGCACCGGGTTATGAGGGGAAAGTCATGTGGTGCCCCCTAATCTCCCCCCTTACCTTTTCAGATAGAATGGGGGCAAGTGAACAGAGCTGTGTTCGAGCATCATGACATTCAGTAACCCAAAGCAGCCAATCTGTGGCTGGGGTAGCTAGAGCCTCCTGAGATGTTGGGTTGAGTCCTATTTTCCCACAGGGCTCCTCCCTTGTTGGCAAGAGCAGAAACTTGCTCTGAGCAGTAGCTCTATAAACAAGCTTGTGTTACTGGTGACTGCTAAGTTCCCAAACATTCCTCTCTGCCCAGTGAGGACTCTGTCACAAGGCCATTCCTGGCTCCAGTTTCTAAACAGAGGAAGAACTGTGGCAGGACTTTTGTTGCGCTCCCTGGGGGCCATCCTGCTGCAAACGATGGAAATATTGTCGGGCAGAGCCAGTGAATCTGATCAGGCTGTTTGCCAACTGGAAAGCAAGGGAGACTTCAACTCAGCCGCCTCCAGTAGTTAGCAAGAATAAAAATGAAACATGGCCTGCCCTCAAGGAGCTTACATGTTACTGGGGAGACATACACAAATAAGTACAAAGTATGAGTGAAATTAAGTACAAAGTATAAAAGAAATAAGTACAATATGATTTTTTTCTAGGGGGAAGGCATTAGAAGTTGGGAGATTAGGAAAAACTTCATTTGGAAGATATCACCTGGGTGGAATTTTTAAGGGAAAAAGGAATATATAAGTGAGAGTCCACTCCAGGCATGGAGAATAGTCAATGCAGGGAAAGATAGGACACAGAGTAAAATCCACTGATTTCACTCACATGAGGCTAAAGACTATCACCTCCAAAACGGAACTCCAAAAAGGAAGGAACAGAAAGATGTGACCCAGAGAAATCACCAGGGAGCCCTGGCATGATGTTCTAGGACTCCTGGGATTCTGCTTTTATAGCATCTGGGTCACCTCAGGAATCTAGGCTGCTGTGATCAGAGTAACCCAGATTATTTTTTGTATATTTCCCTTAATTCTATCCTGCCCCCCATTTATTCCATTCTCTCTTTTGACCCTTAGAAGTGTTTGCTTCTGATTACTCCCTCCCGCAATCTGGCCTCTCCTCTATCATACCCAGATGATTTTATAAGGAGGACATTGATCTCATTGAGGGGAGTCTGCCCATGGCAGATTCTAACCTGGGATATTCCAAGCATAGAAGTTTCCAGTGAGGGAGGATTCAGACTAGAGGTTGGGGGGGAAGGGGGAGGTCACCAGGTAGGAAGAGGCACGATCAGGCAACAGACAATCTGTAAGATCAAGGAAAACAGAACTGAAAAAGCCAGAAATTTTTCCCAAGAACATCCAAGCTCTAAAGTGACCCTGGGGCTTACTGCCTCCTCAAATGGCTGGTTCCATTTTTGACGTTTTCAGCCATAGGAAATCCTTCCTTACACTATATGTGTGTGTATACATACTTACATACATACATATATGTATGTGTGTGTGTATACATACATACATACACACACACACACACACACACACATATATATATATTTAGGCAATTGGCCACCTCCAGCCAAATGATCCCTTAAAATATCTTCTGCTATTTACTCACAGATGCTTGAAATCCCTTGCGCGGGCAACAGAGCCTTTCCTTCCTCCCAGGATCAGAGATGAGGCTGAGAATTCCTGTTCCCCTGGGAGAGGGGCAGATCACAACCCCTCCATGCTCTTGTCTTTCCATAAATTCTTCATAGGGAATTCATCCAATGTCCTAGAAGACTTGCCCTGGCTCTTCTAATAATCTGCCGTTTTGGGGCAAAAGCCTGTCAAACATTTGACTTAACGTCATTTCATTTTAGCTTCACAAC